ATTAGTGTTCTCCAGGACAGCTTCATCCAGAAGCGATGACGAGTTAATCTGCTCGTTCAGCCGTATAATGACCACCTCGGCAACATTGCCTGCCTTCAACGCACCGTCAAACTCTTCGACGGACATCTCGTCCAGCTCAAGAATAGCATTCACCCTGGAGATAGCTTCGAGGGCGACGTCGCTGTCTTCCTCCTCCGTCATACTGTTGACAACGGTATATAGACGTGCGCTGTCGCCTACGATAGACACAACATGGGTCAAGGTCGACGCCCTACGTTTTGCCGATAACATACGGCATCACTGTTTCCTCTCTATAGAGGATTTACGTCTCGCTTAGACCAGTGGGAACATCTACTCAGCGTCGTCCAGTGTCGCCACTACCTGCTCCAGCGGAGCCTTGATGTTATCAACAACATCCAGCGAATAGCTACTATTTACGCAGGCTTCGTCCAGTGGATAACGTACCATTCCAGGCACATCAGACGGGCCTTGCCCACGATGCCTCACACCTCGTCTGACCATGCCAGACTTGGCATACAGTAATTGCTTTGAAAAGTGAACAGTGCTCAGTGGATTACGTGCCACTCCATGTGCATCACCAGGGCCTCGCCCTCGATGCTTCGGACCTCGTCCGACGATGGCACTCTTGGTATGTAGCAGTCGCTTTTAAAATATGAGCAGTTGTGTGTCATTCCACGTTCAGCCCGCGAGCCATGCCCCGGAACTACACCTTCGGTGTTCGACAACTCGGATACTCCGATATCCAGCACATTGACCGGCCCGGCCCAGTGACCGCGCCAATAGCGCTTTTGCTTCCTAGCAGAGGTGGGTTAATGATTTACCAAAGCTCCACCAGGAGACTTGCGAGAGCGCGCAAGGTTTTCGACCTTCAGTCGATCCATGGCTTATGCTGTTCCAGCCATGCCATACTAGGGATAAGATCATATCTTGATACCAGGTCTGAGACTAAGCAGCGTTCCACGCTATCAAATCCAAGAAACTTGACGCCGAAATCCACAGGGACCTTCGGGACCGTGACACATGTTCTCGTTGCTAAGCGAACAGTGACGATGTCAATTTACCGCGCCCTCAGCGTCTCGGCAGACAGCTGATTTCCTTCCATCGTGGAGCGTCGAGCATAATTTCTGACGTCCCGAAGTCGATCAGGATCTTCCATGGCTTCTCAAAGCCCTTCACGGTCGCTTCCACGACTA